TTCTAACGACGGCTACTGTTTTGCTCGCAAATTAACCCTCTTCTGCATTGAATTACCTGAAAACTGCATTTATCTCAACCAATTGGAACTGAGTATTTTTTTTTTTGCATATTATTAATTATGTTAACAGTTATTAAGGAATCATGTTCTTATTATCGCCCAATCAAGTAATATTTGCTTTTTATTTCTAAGAATGTTTGGTTGGGGAAGCTTAGCTAAATGTCTTGTGTCTTCATGTTATTGGAAATGTTGTTGTTCATCATGGTTTACTAGATGAATAACCATTTAATCATTTGTCTCATGATGTATGAGTCAGGCTAATCAATCGTGTATTGATCGTGACATTTTGACCACCAAACTGCAAATCTTTGGGCCTTTTCACACCAGTGACAAAGTTGTTTACTCACCAACATTTTGCAAATGCAGATGGTTTGTCTGGACTTGATAAATTTTGGCTGATACAGACAAATCTTCAAATGCACCACCCACAAAATTTGTCCCAGGTCCAAACTGGATGAAATCGACTGATTACCAAAAAAAGTGCTAAACTTGTCATTCATTCATCGTAAGAGCTGCGACCAGTGTGTAATTGAACTATAATAAGTTTAATAAAAAATAAAAAAAATTGTCTTTTCCTGCAAAACTTGGGGATTCTAAAATTTTAAAAAACTTAAGATAAACCCTGGAAATTGGAGGCATAATCCTTCTTCAAACCATGCTGGCCAGTCTTATAAACCAATCAGGCACAAATGGAATTTGATGGCCTTTATATTTCTAGTGTGGATGCAACAGACTAAACAAAAATTTGTCATGACAAAATTATTCCTTTGATTTTTTGGGGACAATTCTAGTTTTGTTTGTAGTGCAGAAAGGCCCTTTGTTAGATGATGTGGTCTAAAGTTTGGGTGTTACATTTTGAAGCACCTTTGGTCCTCATAATTATTCCCTCTTCCGAGATGTTCCCTCAAAGGTCTGCTTTATTATGGTAGGCATCCATATCCATTTGTTAGGAATTTCAATTTAGGATGGCTTCTTTAACCCTACGAGAGTATCAGAGTCATAATCAGTAAACCTGACCAGGACCCAAACAGGAACCTATCCTTCTTCATTGTCTGGTTTTCATAAATGTTATCACAAATGTTTCAATCATGATTCAAGGTTGGAAGTGCCAATCAGCTTTGTTATAGTTATCCAGGTAAACTTCAGCCATGGGAAAGTAAAACTAGTTGGAGTTCATGGGGAGTTTGGGGTAACCGAGTTTGAGATAGCTGATAGCAAATGATTAGAAAAATGGGTCAAACCAAAGGGAAGTCACATCTTGTTTAAGTTCACAGGGGAGGTTCAAGGTTATGGGCTTCTACTGTACCTTCAACAAATTCCATGCTTTTCAATATTTTTTGACGAACATTTTAAAGCAAAAAAAATTACAAATAAGAGGTTTGTTTGTTGTAACAAAATGGGGTTTGTGATAGCTAAAGGAAAGTGTAGCCAATGGACCATAATATAGTGGCTTGGGGCTTTCTGATAACCATAAACACATAAAGAGTTCAACAATGATAGTGAGAGTTAAAAGGTTGTCCAGCTTAAAGAGAGTTTAACTAATACTATGTCAATATTTTTTAATTGAAGAAAACTGAACCTGTGTTCAGAAAAAAATGTCTCTTAAGTTTTCATTTTATGAAAAATGTATGAATTTAAGTAAAATGTTGGAATAATACAGAACTCCCAAATTCCATGCATATTGTATGTTAACCCATTGAATAGAGTGTATTCATCTCCTATTCATGGCAACTTTGACCTCCTTGGTTTGAGTGTCAAGCACAGATACCAACTTCTGGAGAAAAATATGTTGAGGCCACAAAACCAATAAGTTGACAAAACAAGGTTGGCTTAAATTTCAAATAAAAAGTTAATACTACCCTCAATGAAAAAATTAACTCAAAATTGTCTACTGATTTGTGAAGTATTTTAAACAAAGGTCATCTAGGACAAGATGCTGAAGTCAGACACAACTTATGTGTAACCATCAACCTTTTGACACCTGATTGCAAATTATGCATAAGAATTACATAGTTCACCAGATACTACAATAAATAGTACAAAGAAATTAAGGCAACACACGAAAACCTCCCTAGTGTAAATTTATTTCAAAACTTCATACATTACAGCAATGTTATATGTAGATGATGGAATTTTTGGTCACTGTAAAAAAGCTCTCATACACTACCAAATTAATGGACTCGATTTGATGTTAAACCTAGTTCTCTCGGTTCAGGTTCACATGAACCAAATTGGCTTTGATAAAACATTCTACCTACATACAAAAATCGCGGAAACAACTACTAATTCGTATTGACAAAATTCATAACCATGTATGGAAACTATTCTTTTCAATGTCATCTACTTAAAAAATATATGAGAAAAGAATTTGACACTCTAACTTCTAAAAAGCTTACATTATGGCTTCCTCTTCTTATTTTCCTGTATCAGCAAATTATACGGTTCACTCCTTATCTCCACACGCATTTGCCACGACAAAGACGAATATGCCGTCTTAACCAAACTTGATTCCGCCACTTGGACGACATGTCCATCACCGTTAGAGAACAACACAACAACCTCGTTTACTCGAAGAACTTTTCTGTGTGGTTTTCATTCGTCTAACAATCTCAGTGAATACTTCGTCAACATTGGTATTGCTCTTCGCAGAGGTTTCGAAGTGTGGACAGCCCCATTCTTCCGCTAAAAGCTTCGCTTCGTTTGCAGATACTTCTCGTTCATCAAACATGTCACTTTTATTTCCAACAAGTATCAGTGGCACACTGTCTGCATTTTTCACACGCAGTATCTGATCCCTCATCGGCTTTAAATCAGTGAACGTTTGCCGGTTTAAAAGAGAATATATTAGAAGGAATCCTTGACCATTTTTGATGTACAAATCTCTCATTGAAGCGAACTGTTCAGTGCCAGCAGTGTCTAAAATTTCCAAGATGGAGGGATTGTGGTCAACGTCGATCTCCTTTCGATAGAAATCTTCAATAGTTGGGTCATATTTTTCAACAAATTGTCCCGTAACAAACTTCACTGTAAGTGCACTTTTTCCAACACCACCTGAACCCAAAACGACGACTTTGTATTCTTTCATGTTCATAGTCATACACAGGAGGATAAGAAGATATGGCAGCGACAGTTTGAAACCCAACAAATCCACTAGATAGAGGCTGTTCAAATGCACAACAGTCGCCCTTTAAAACGCTTCGGAAACTACGATTTTGTGACATTCATCGAATACTTACTGAATTTTCTCACAAAATTTACGTACTGCACTATGACGAACTTCCCACTCTCGCCGAGTATTGCTAGTCTGAATAATGCAGATCCGTATGGGCGTCGACGCTTCACCAATGGTTTCTGGGTAACGTAATTCACTCGAAGTCCTTCACGTTAGATGGCATTTTTTGTGAACTTAATGAATGCTAGTTTTGGGCACCGATGGCGCAAATTAGTGCTACAACGACCGATTTTTGACTGCACTTTTATCTCCTACAAATTTTTCCTAGCTTTACGGTAAGTTGACCATCTTAAGTCGTGGAAAATGCATCGGGTTTCGCTCATGAGTAATGTCCGAGGAAGTGCCCCTTTGTCTTCTGAAGGCAGCTTTAGATACTCAATCCTCTTCACTAAAGAAGAGAGATACCCATGAGCAGATTAGTACTTCTTCTAATCTTTGTTGCTTCGCTTTTATACTATATTTTGTAGAGGAGACGTTGTTACCCAGTTGTAAAACAGATTTTACTAAGGCTGTAACACAGTTGTCTATTTGTTTTAGATACTAAAGAATTAAAAACAGTTTTAATGATGACGTCATCTATACGTCTGTCCTCCAATAGATCATAAGTGAGAACCAATCAGAATGCGTGCATAACTGAGCTTATAATATAAATTAATAATAAAATGTTCAAAGAAATGTATGCGCCGTGATTGGTCAGAACGAGTTCTTGTATTTCCATAAAGCACGCGCCGGCCACGAGTGCACTGTTGAGATATAATGCACGCAACCTACGTCATCGGTACGAGCGCACGCAATTCATGATACATTTTATAAAAGAAATAAAAAACTCTCTTCTCTCTTCTTCTCTCTTATTGATTAGTTTAACCTTAAAATATACACACGCACGCACACCTATTCATTCATTTTTTATTTTTCGCATTTTTCTTGTCAGCATCTTGTTTAAAGGAAACTAAATCTTTCCCTTGGATTCGGGTTTTAAACGGGGAGGGACGGGGAGAAGAGGTTCAGTCAACCGCGCCTTTCTCTTCAAATGTAGGAGGGCGAGAACATTGAAACTTGGCCGTGGAAGATCTTGCGTGGGTGGGTGCGTGCGAGTGTTTGTTGGCGGGGGGGTGAGGGGGGGGGGGTGTTAGGCGCTTACTGATTGTAAGTAAGGTGAAGGTGCAGTGCAGTTCAGGAGTCTTATTAAACGATAAGGAGGTCAAGCTCCCAATGTTAAAAAAATCTCTCTCCCCAGCCAGAATCTTCTTAGAAATAAATCACATGAGGAAATATCGAGTGGTTGTTCACACAGTACAACTGGACTTCAAGCGACTTAGAAAAACATTTTACAAACAAAGGATTCAGATCTATATCTAGTGCCTCAAAAGATTTGGAATGGTTGTTTCCAGCGTGCGGACTTTATTAACTATGCGTTGCAGGACGTTCAAAGTGAGCACGTGTCAGTATTAAAATTGAACACATTTCAAAAGAGAAAAGAAAAAAGAAGTTAAAAAATACACTACCTGCAGCAACAACAACAAAGAAGTTCAGCAGCACACGCCAAGAACACATGCGAAATCCAGCTGTCTTAACCACAGAAATTTAACCGCTCATTCAGCTTTCATGATTGGTCAATCCAATGAGCCATCGACAACTTGATTGGACAATGTCCATTGCTTCCATGACAATCCTTTGTTTAACCACGCGTTGTACTTTTTTAATTTTTTTCAAAAACTCGATTCTTGAGATCGTATAGCGAATGAGAAAATGTATGCGATCGGAAGAGCCCTGTGTATTTGGCATCTCGTTGTTTTAAAGTACATTTCATGGTCTGAAGCAAACCTAGGAATTGCGTTAAACGATCCTTGCGCTTCGAATCCTTGTTGGAATGCTGGAACTTGTCTAAGGAATGGCTCTTACTTCACTTGCAGTTGTCAAGTCGGATTTCGTGGTCCGGCGTGTGAATTTCGGTCTACTGATTGCCCAGTAAACCTATGCGTTAATGGTGTTTGCAGTCTTACAGCTGGCACCCCAAAGTGTTACTGTACTCCAGGATTTACAGGAAAATTGTGCGATATTGATGAAGATGAATGCGCTTCTCAACCTTGCAAGAATGGTGCTCTCTGTGTTGATGAAATCAACGGATACAAATGCGTATGCCGAGACGACACATATGGCCGTCATTGTGAGATTCATAAAATAGACATTATGGAGTGCACTTCACGATGTGACGAAAAGCCTTGCTGGCGAAATCGTTCCGCTATTATACCGATAATCTGGGGATATGGCGACAGTATCTGTAGCACAAGTCATTCGTGTTTTGGTGGTGAGAATGATACGGAAGCAGACGTGTACGATACTTTTGTGGAAGTACAGCTAAAGCCTTTGCAGATTCAAGTCGGAGACACTCTTAATTTCACTGCCGATGAGGAAATTTTGGCTTATGTCGATGGATTTGTACCGCATCGCGTCGTTACTACAAACGAAGCTAATGCATTCCTAACCTGTAACGAGAGCAATGGCATTCCACTTGTAAATAAATCCATGGATAGTGTTTCTGTGGGCTTAGACATACTGAATATTGGAAAGCATTATTTTATTGCTAACATAGACTCTACTTTCCGCTGCGACTTCGGCTTGCGACTGAATGTTAGTGTGAAAGAAAACAATTGTAGGCCTTCATCCACTAGTGAAATGTGCTCTGGCCGAGGCCAATGCTCGACAAACTTCAGTTTACCCGACTTCCGTTGCAAATGTTGCGGTGGATTTCGAGGACACTTTTGCGAAAAAGTAGACTATTGTTTCTCGAAACCTTGCAAAAATAACGCTCTGTGTCAAAACATTGAGAGTTCAACGGACGGCAACACACATGTATGTATTTGCAAGGCAGGGTACAAAGGACGGGACTGTTCTGAAATCATTGACAAGTGTCTGTCCTCCCCGTGTCAAAATGGTGGTAACTGTATTCCAGAGGTGAACAACTTTACGTGTCAGTGCTTACGGGGCTTCAGTGGTAGGAGCTGTGAAGTTGATATTGATGAATGTGCTTCAAGTCCATGTTTGAATGGTGGCAGCTGTGTGGATGGGGTTGGTTCTTTCCAGTGCAAGTGCCCTTCTGGGTTTACAGGTACATAATTAAACATGTAGTATGTCCCACTTTCTAAGTACGGGTTCTTATACATAAGCAACTGACAGTCGAAGGGTTACCTGAATAGCTGAGAATAGTATAGAAAACTTATTTCTAGTGCCTGCTTGCTTGATTTTTTTATGGTTTTGTTTTTGCACACGTGTCTGAGTGACATTTTTTAATATGAAACCTTTGGGTCTCTTTGTGGCTAGAACCTGTTAATCCACAATAATAATCCTTTATAATGCATGAAAAACTCCATCTGTTTGGAGTCTTTGAAATGGCCCATAAACCCAGTTCATAAGTTACACCTGCCAATAAGCCATTTTGTGCAATCCCTTAGAGCATAATTGATGCATTTGTTAGAGGATTAATCTGAAACAAAATTTGACTCAGATTATGCTGAAAAATTCATTCATTGGCTCTAGCCAAATAGTAACTTAAAGTTTGCAAAAAAAATGTGAAGTTCAACATTCTTGTTTAGTGGTAATGAGCTGTAAGGGTATGTTTTTTCAATGGCTCATATTTCACATCAACAGGTAACTCATTGAATTAACAAAAGAGATGTTGGTATTATAATTTGTATTAATTATTACCAGTTGAATGCTGTTGTTTTTGTTGCTTTTTGACAATACCACAGCTCATGTAAATTGAAGGTATTGAATGGAAAGTGAACCTAATTTGATATAAAGGTATATATTCTTGCTTATGAGAAAAAGCAGGCTGCTCTTGGTTTTCAGTCAGTGGAGAGAAATGAAGGAGTAGACTGGCAGCAAATGGTGGTCATGGTTGGTAGGGAAATGGCCGTGAAACAACAACTTAAAAGTGTTGTTTTAAAAACTCTCCTCTAACACACCAGCTCTTAAATATATCTTGTGATTGGTTGATATGTCAGTTCATATCAACACTCACATTTTCATCAATCACCTGCCCTGGCCTGGTGAAGGCTAAACTTTTCTAGATTGATCTTAATTAGGCTTGATTTTTACTTCTCTTAGCAGCTTATATAGTTATTAGATTTTTGGATAAATGTCTTGAAGGTTTTTCTGTACATAGCAGTACTTGGATTTGAACAAACAATGCATTTCTGTTCATTCTGGGATGTTGGACCAGAGTAAGTCTCATTTCAGCAGGTATTCCCCATGATGTTAAAGCATGATTTCACTCATGAGTGATCTTGTTGTACATCTGCACTAACTTCGATTTGCGCTTGCAGCCATAGGAATCAAAGACCTAGATCAATGGCAACTATGAAGTTACCCTTGTCCTTTTTTATTTTCTTCAACCCAATGAGTGTAAAACTGTAAGCACATAGTTTTATTGTCACATCTTAGTGACACTTTAAATATCATAGAGTGTTTTCTGGATTTCAAGTCAAATTTCCTTGTCAAAATGAAAAACATGTGACTATCTTCTCTAAGTATTTGAGGTAGACATCTTATTTTCTCTGAAAAAGGGAAATGTTTCCTTTGGCCAAGGTATTAGGAGCCACTTTAGGCCAAACTCAATGTTGATTCCCTCTATAAGGAACCAGTGCTTTTTTTTTTTTAACAACTGCCACCTTTTTCAAGAAAGGTGACATTTTCTCTTAAATAATCTACAGGCCTGGAGTAAATTGAGGGAGAAATGAGAACTCTTATATGTTTCACTGAAAATTTGAACAAGTTTACTTCCTCCCAACATTTTTCTTTCCTCAGTCCCACAATCTCTCGCAAGCACAATCTTTCACTCATCCCAATAACTAAAAGCCTGTCACAGGCAAGGGCGAGGGCTTTAAATTTTTTTTTAGGTTATTTTTTGGAAATAAAATACTTTAATTTATGGTTTATCACTGAGAAAGAAGAACTAAATGTTGTAAGATTGTGCAAAAGAAAGACGGGTCACAGGTCTCTTCAAGAAAAAAGAAATATTTTTCTTTTGATTGGCTCTTAGATAACTGGTGACCTTTTTGTATAAATTTGGGGGTACATTGCTTTTAGATATTTAGGCTAAAGTTTTCAGCAAACAGAATTGAAAGTGCTACTCTAGGGTACCACTGCAACAGGCAATCTTGTAAGCAGACAGCTTTACTTAAAGCCACTGTTTAGCAAATCCTGGTGAACCACTAACACAAAAACTTTATTTGGACATTCTCAATGGACAATGCTATTAGAGATGAATTATGGAAATGAACAAACCTGGCTTTCAAATACTCAAATGATAAATTATTTTAGTAATGAGTATATATTTTAAACTTGTACCTTTAATGTTCTCAGAAAACTGTTTGCATCTTGGAACAGATAATGTGCCTAATAGAGGCTATTGTGTTTAATATCCTTCAATTTTTTTTCAAAGTGCATGAAAAAATGTTCACAAACAGCTTACTCTATGCTGTGTGGGATGTTTACTTTTGAGTGTACTCTTATGCAACTGAATGAACAAAAAAAGATTTCCCCTCTTCTGTAAAGACCACAAAACCCTCTCTCATCTCCAATTAAATTTAAAACAAGGACATAATGTAGCAGAGGTAGGGTGTGAAAGTTGGGGAATATCACTTGGGTGAAATTCTTGGCTATCACCCAGTTTTAGTTGGGGGAAATTCAGTCATGTGCTGAGTTTTGAGCAATTGTGCTTGATCAAAAATATTTGATGGATCATAACAGAACAGAATAATGTACATATATTTTTTAACATGTACCTCTCTGGGCTTTTAAAAGTTTTTCTGGATTATCACTTTAAATGCTGCAGACACTTTGTATGTGCCCAGGCAAACAAAATCAACAACAGCTTAGAGGTTTGGACTTGATATGTGCTGAGCATTTAAAATAGAGACTGAAGTCTGCTTTTTGATTTGATGGTTAAGTTCACTGTTCAAACTGAGGTTTTATTGTAATTTTTTTGTAAAAGGACTGGATAACAGTATAACTTGATGCAGAGCAAGAGGTCATAATAAAATGTAGCTGAGATGAATGTGACATGGATTGGACAAAACAGCCATAGAGGGTGTTTTGTTTTCTTGCCTGTGGGAGTAAGAATTATTGTAAAGAACTTGAAATGGAATGGCTTGCAAATTATGACACATGAGAAATCTCTGTCTGTGACAGTGCAGGGAAGGGTAATGTGTTTCTTATTTTCTCCTAGGCTCTCACTGTGAAGTTGATATAGATGAATGTTTACATTCTCCTTGTGCTCATGGTACATGTATTGATCAAGTAAATGGCTTCAAATGCCATTGCTCACCTGGATATGCAGGGATCAAATGCGACTACAACCTTAAGGAATGTCTTTCCAATCCTTGCCAGAATGGAGGAAGTTGTATCGATGAAGTTGGTGGTTACAGATGTGATTGTGGTATGGGGTTCAGTGGAGATCACTGCCAAATTGATATAGACCTCTGTCAGGAGCCCATGATGTGCATCAATTCCATATCTTGTCAAGACAAAGGTCACAGTGTCAAGTGCTCTTGTAAGGCAGGTTTTACAGGTTACAACTGTGCAGTTAATATTAATGACTGCCTTTCTCATCCATGTAAGAATGGTGGCATATGCAGAGATGAAGTGAATGGTTTTGAGTGTATCTGCCCTGATGGGTTTTCTGGAAAAAAATGTGAAGGTAAAGTTTGGTTGAACTTTTTATTTTAAGTTTTCTTTGTTACTGTGAATTGCAGTATGAAGTGTTTCTTAAGTGATTTGATTGAATTGGTATCTGCACATTTACAGGGTCTACAAAAGCAACACCAGTCAAACATTTTGAGCGACAGTTTTCTCTCAAGCTAATGACAGAAGACTGCAAACTTCTAGAGGTACTACATAACAAACATTTGTTATCAATGTGACAAAAACATTTGGTCTGAAATTTGTGTGTCACTTGTATGTAATGTAGTTAAGGTTTTCATTAATTTGTCACCTCTACCAACCAGTTCATCAAAGGAATGAAAGGGGTAAGTTTCTAAAGAAACTGTGGTGCTGTGTTAGTGGGAAAGTATAACAGGTAATTTAGTAACAATGCATCACCATACTCCCGCCAATAGTGTAGCTCCATTTCCTGCGTATCAACCTGCACACAACCCATAATTCTTCCAATTGCTCTGACGAAGGGCTAATGCTTGAAACATCAGCCTTCAAACTCTTTATGGTGGCAAGTTTAACACTAAACTACTTGTTCATCAAAAGGTTTTAAGGCTGGTATGATAATCAAAATTAGATGGTGAAAAACTTTTTGCATTTAAAGCCAGCAGAACTTCAAATTGGGACTTGCAGTCATGTAGCAAGCTGTTATGTTTAACTTATGTAGTGTTTATGGTCTAAAGTTAGAGTGGGATAAAAAGAAGAGGCTGTAATGGCCTTGACTTGAGTAACATTGTAACAAGTAACTGAGTGAGGCACTGTGTCCTGAAAGTAAGTGATTCTGTGACTTTTTGGAAGCTTTTGGAGCTATCTCTTGAAGTGAGACCAAAGTATGAGTACCCTGTTCCATAAGAGAAAGATGATTCAAGAATATATTATGTAATTGACATTCAACCAATAATTAAGTGGTAAAAAGTAATAATATTAATAATAATGATAACAATAGTAATATGATAATAATTTAGAGGGGCTACCTTGAAAGCCTCACAGTTCCCCTATCCTTTGGGCTCCAACAATGATTACATATGTTTCTTTTAATTTCACCTGTTAATTATAAATAGTTTCTAATTTTATTGAAATTCCATTTTTTGAGACTTTTGTTTCATACAAAAAAGCATTTGGTGTTTTAGGATATTCAGTAGTTCCTTGTCTTAGATATTCTGCCATTCTGCTGATCCACCATTCATCTGTTTGATCGTTCTGTATAGATAATAACACAAGGTATTGCATTTAGCAGCTTGCTTGCTTTGCAAATTTAGTGGCTCTTTTTGCCATTAGTTGCCAATTAAATGGTAAAATGCTTTCTTTTCAAAGGAAAAAATTTCCTCAAAGCTTTCATGATTTGCAGATCACATCTATTGTGATACTGCAACATCAGGTCATGAACATTAAGTATACCATATCAGACCCCAAATGCGGGTTTCAGACTACAAAATCAGGTCCAAAACTTTAATGAGACACATGAGACGATGCACAACATCTTGGCCTAAATAATAAAATAGCATATCAGACCCCACACTTTTCGGCAGGCCATGAGCATTAAAAAATACCATATCAGACCCCATGGTTTTCATGTGGGTTTGAGACTCCAACAACAGTTCCCAAAAATTTAAAATTACCCATCACACTTTGCATTTTTCATGTGAGACCACAGCATCTGGGTCAAAACATTGTAGATACCATATCAGACTCCTCACTTTTCTTGAGTTTGCAAGCATTAAAATACCATATCTGACCCCACACTTTTCGTGAGAGACTATAACATCATGTTGGTAGCATTAAAATATACCACACCAGAGCCTACCCTTTTTGTGTGGGCACAAGACTTCAACATCAGGACCTGGACATGAAGATTGCCGTATCAGATCCCACACGTTTCTCACAAGAATACAACAGCTGGTTGAGAGCATTAAAAATACCTTATCCCATGCTTTTTTGGGCATAACTTGTAGGAGAGTAAATGAAGTATTTACTGTTTTAGCTCTAATGTCAAACTACTGAGATACTCTGAATTCTATTGTTACACTCACTCACTCACTCATGCACTCACTCACTCATGCACTCACTCTCTCATGCACTCACTCACTCATGCAATCATGCACCCACTTGATGACATAAGTGGCTTTGCCTCCTACAGGAAGAGGTAGCCACAAAAAGTTACGAGTACAAGAAAGCCTCAATTGGGATAGTTTGAATATCTTTTGCTCTTCAAGTCTCTTTAATTGTCTAGGATATTTTACTTTAACTAACAAATTTGAATAAAGGAGGGGAATAAGTTTTTGTTTGTCATTTATCATCATGTATTAAGTATAAAGAATTATTACCATAATATTTACAATTTTTTGTTTGTTTGTTACTCACCAGGACTCCCAGGATATGATACACATTAACCAGGGTATAGCTTCCTACATGGCAAAATCATGCAATTGCAGTTTTGACATAGGGAATATAGTGAATGAGAGTGTACTGCTCCAGTGTAGAGACAGCATCAGTGCTGAACTTAGTATGGAAATAAAGCCAGTTGAAGAACATTCAGTTCGTCAACTGATTTGTCAGTTTTACATTCTTCTTAACTGGAGCAAGAATGTCATAGACTTGGGTAAGTTGATTTTTGTGACACTGGTAGTTCTTTGTAGTACTTTTGTAGTACTGCACCAACAATATAAAAGCAAGTTCAATTTACTTTCCTACTTTGGATGGCTGCATTTGTCATGATAATGGTAAATGATGAATGTTAACATGTTTGTGAAAGGTAATCTTTAGAGTCTCTATTAATTGTAGAGTAGAAGATCATATCCTAGACTTCATAATTTATAGTTATTAGAGTCTCTAAATTTGAAGCATCACAACACTGTAACCAACATTGACAGACACATCTTTTACTTCAACTTTCAACTTTGTTGAAAATGTAACAAAATTGTTCACTTTTACTTTTTTGGAAACTGTTAGTAACTTTTATTTTTCCAGGCTACAACTCCTATGCAGTGAGGGTTCTTAGTGATGTGTCATCATGTGGTGCCATCAATGTCACTGATGGGGGCTCTGTTCAGGATAGCAGTGCTCCAGAGGAAGATGAAGACACACATAGTTCAGGAAATATTGCTGTAACTGTATCATCTGTATGTGCTGTCCTAGGCCTTATTGCAGCTGCTGTTGTGGTTTGCGTGAAGTGCAGAAGAGCAATTCCTTCACCAGGCAAAAAGTATTCATCCAAGTAAGTGTTTGGTAATCTTTTCTAATTGGTTTGTTTGTTAAATGCATGTATACATGTATATATATATATATATATCTGTTTTAAAAAACTTTGCAATTTGAAAATTTATATTAAAGATATACATTTATATCTATATATCTTTTGTTTTCTCATCAAAAGGGTGATAAATGATGCATGCATAATTCACATCAAACAATATCTTATTGTTTGAGAGTCACTGTGCATACTTACATTGTTTTGCACCGGCCTTTGCATGGTGCCATCAAAATAATGACCAGAAATTCTTCAATATTGAATTTTTTTAACGTACATTTGTTTTAGGGGTCATTCATCACCCAAACTACCATTTCCCCATTCTGTTGAGCCATTTTGAAAGAAAATCTGTAGCTTGTAAACTCAAAGCTGCAACATTAAAAAGTGTTCTAACTGTGGAATATTACACCATGTCCATGTCAGCAAGGTTACAAAACAAAAGCCAAGCTAAACAATAAGGCAGAACTTCATAATTTCGTCCAGGCAACTTGGAATCATAAAATGAACATATTTTGTAGAATGTGAACAATGACAGCGGAGTATGCTTCCTTGTTTATGCTCAAAATACCTGGTACTTTATGTATAAGAAGTTGTTAGAAACTGAAATCTTAAGCCAATCATGACAATTTCAAAACAAACAAAAAAAAATATATATATATATATTTTTTCCGTTTTACAGTGCTCGATACGTAGGTGTAGAGCGAGATATATGCTGCGATAGGGAAAAAACAGAGAGACTATACTTTCATCCCTACAAGCCTGTTTCGTGATTGCTCACTCATCACGGGATTTTATTGTTAAGAATATTCATACCATCGCTTATGTACTTTACAAATTTGCATAACAGGCGTGTCGCTTAATTTAGATGCTTAGTTCAATTGTTACGCAGTAACGCTTTGTTTCTGTTGCGGCATGAGGACACCAGTTCATCACGTTTATTGAGTGATGATAATTCGGGTCGGCGGATGATGAGTAATTTTTCTACGAAGCAGAGGTTGCATCTTTTGTTTGCGCTGTTGTTGGGTGATCTTGATGAAAGGATACGCTTTGAAATAAAGTGGTTTATGTTATTTTCTTTAAGAATCCAGATATCTTTGCTGAGTTCGGTAGAGTTTCCTGTGTTTTGTGTGTCGGAATGATGCGGTGTGGTTTCTGTATCTAGTCTTGAAGTCGTTTTCTGTAAGTCCAATGTATGTTTCATTGGTACTGTTGTCCTTACGTGTGACGGTGGCTTGGTAGATAAGAGATGATTTGAGGCAGTGTGTGTTCTTCTATCGGCAGTTGCAAGTTTTGGTGTCTTTTGTGTTGGTGTTATCGGCGGTGTCATTGATGTGTTTGGATGAATATAGAATACGTTTGTTGTCTTTGTCGACGATCTGTTTCGTGCCATTCATGCAGCTGTAACTGATCTTGATTTTTTTACGATTAAAGATTTTTCTAAGACTGTGGTCTTTTGGAAAGTGCTTGTCTTCTAGGGCCCATACCATACCACCATACCAAAAGCAGCCGACGAATGCGGATACCGGTACACTCTACACTACGAACCACCCACGACTAACAAACGAAAAAACAGACAACAGAACAAAATACTCTGGTACAACCCCCCATTCAGCAGAAACGTCAGCACCAATATCGCACACAGATTCCTTGCCCTAGTAGGCAAGCATTGTCATATAAGTGCTTAATTATAATGCAATTTGTCCATTCCTGGTGTTCAACGGTACAACTGAGAGTAAAACTGTTCGGTGTGTACATCTGGAAGAGTGTTCTACTGAATGTCGCTTTTCTTAGATTGTTGTTTTATTATTATTATTATTATTATTATTATTATTATTGCAATATGCAACAAAGCCTTTGTGAAATTTCTAAGTTACTGCGTTGTCCACTATGTTGTTCACCGTCAAGTTATTTTGAACAAGGAATGATTAAAGATCATTGGTTCATAATCTATGCAATCATACACGTATTTAGCTGAAAAACTTGTCTACTTGAAACTCCACATGGATCTTAGCTCTTTTGTACAAACACTTCCATAAAAAACTTAACCAAATAGGTTTAAAAGATGAGAAATAGAAATTCTTGCTATTTTTGCGCAGTAACTGCTAAATGCATTTTGCCACTTCCATCTTCCTTCAATTTAACAAAATGAAAAATTGCAAACATAGTTTACGAGAATGAAAAGGGGTAGTTGAGAAAACTTTTTTGTCAGGCTGTGAGCAGTTGCCAGTCATAGTTATTGCTTTGATGAAATTTGACTTATCTTTATAAAGACAGATCTTAATACAGTTGCTGGTGAAAGTGACTCTTAATTATTCATGCCATCATTTAATTATAAATGTACTTGACTTAACTATAGAAATTTGTATTAACTATAATATCAAACTAGATCTAAGAATTAAGTATATACACAATATTTCAATATAATATAACCAAGAATGTAGCTGCAATAATTTGCTGGATTTTTCTTTTAACAGAGGCGAGAATCAGCTGATAGAAGATCTGAGTGCTGATCTACTCACTGCCGTTGCCCCTACTCCCAAGTCCATGTATCGCACTAGTGGTGGTTATCATAACATGGCATACTCTGGACGATTTAATCCTGAAAACCCTGTTAAATCCCGCAGAGTGTGAAGTGACCTTGGAATATTAGCTTCATATGTGGATAGTTTCACGGCCCCTGCTTGAATTTTACTTGTAAATAGTAATATGAAAATCGCTTAAACCCCCTTATGTAGATAATTGCGTAGAATATACATTTTTAAATTTTGGATACAAGAAATACAGAAAGGTTTGTCTCTACACTATTTCCTTAGAAAGGTATTGTTATGTACATGTACGTTATTATAATAAGAGAACTCCCTTGCTGAGTTAGAGTTACTGGGATTCTATTGTAGTACATGTTGAAAAAAGGAGTTGTTAAAAGGATGAAATAACCACACTTTCCATTATTTGTTAGCTTTGAATCATGTTGACTGGATTCCTCAGATGCTTTGATCAGTTGAGAAAAAAGAAAGTGTCTCCTTGGTAGATATAAGTGGCATCTAGTGATACTACATGTATATGGTGTCAAGGGGGAAAGTTTACTGTAAATAGGAAGGAAAAAGTTCCCCATAAGTAAGCTTATTTTTCTCCGAATCTCGAGGAACAGATCCAACGGAAAAATGCAGAAGTATTTGCTATTTACTACACTTGGAACATGTTTGTATTACTTAGCTTCTGAATGGCATTAACAAAAATCCAATTCTTTTAGTTTTCCATCTGCGTGAACATGAGTCTTAGTGTTATAAGAACTGCATATTGTGACTTACAACCTTACTGTCATGTCTTCTCTCGGTGATTGATTTTATTTCATTTGACTTGTTATTTTCAATGTTTTAGCTTCTTCGCCGGGGATGTCATATTTTCTTAGTGAAAAGCTAAGTTAAATTTCTGCAAACTTAAAAAAAAGTTTATTACGTCTGAGGAGTGGCATTTGTCATTATAGGTGCAGCTCAAATACGTTCCTAGCATTTGAATACTTCTTCTTGATTAAGTTAAGTAGGTATTCGGAAAACACAAAACCAATTGCTTGTATCACTTGTCAACCTCGTGTTTATAGTTGCATGATTTTATCATGAATTTTGATCGTTTTTTGGCATGTACATTGAAATGCATTTTGTACACTTAATAAAAAAATCACTGCTGGATGTATACCAGAGTTCCTTTTTTTCAAAATGTGTGAGAATTAAGGTATCACAGAAGGAAAATAAGCGTTTTCGTTCAATCTGAGATAGCGCGAAAATTATGTGCCTTACCCTATACGAGTATACATTTTTTGATAGCTTAATTAACACTGGTTTAGGATATATAATTTATTTTTATAATTTTCACCATCGAACAGAATAGAAGCTTATTCTTTCTAGCTGAGACGTTCTACAAGATAAGTTTTTTTGACGACGCATTCCAATCAAAACGTTTCTTCTTTATTAAAACGTGATCTGAATCAAAAAAAGGCGTGTCTGGAATTTACATTCTAACGCCCCGTTAATTTTCTTATCATTTTTTACCCTCAAAGTAACGCTTTTGAGCAAAGTTTTCATTGTAGACGCTATATCTCAAGAAAGAAAGAAAAAATCGAAAATCCGGGACACGCTTTTGGGGTACATTATACTTCCGACGTTATCTCCAAATTTCACGAAAATTGACGGAATATCAGCAGAGAATAAACTCAGATCAGAACTCAAGCCAAAACACTTAACCAGAAAAAGCGACTTGGACTTTTTAGGACCGTCGGTGCTATCTTACACAAACGCATTTCCTCTTCACGCTCGTGAAGGCTGTTACCCAATCATATTGGAGCAAGCCGTTTGACACTGCATTGCTTGTCGACGATGATGCGTGCTAAAAGGCAAAGAGCGAACACACTTTGATCCATTTTGTAAGGAGTCAGGTCGAGAAGGTTAAGCGACATGGAAGGTGCTTCACCTAGCAAAAAGAGGAGGAAAGAGGTGAGGCAGAGGAAGGAGAGCTACACTGGAAACATAACGCACCTCGACGATCGATGCACGAAGTGCAATGCTACGTGAAAGATGATGGACTGTCGGCGATATTTTTATCGAACTAATGCCTACGGCAACTTCGATAGAAATAGAGTCTGGCAACTAAATCTCTTGACACTAGTGAGCAATATTTCTTTTCCAATGCAAACTGCGAATAAATTTTCCTTTTTCCGGAGTGGCGAGAGGGACTTATCGCTTTCGGACATGATAACAGCTTGAAAACAATATTTGAAATACGAGGACAATCTCTCTAGCCTTCGGAAAGAACTGATGTAAGTAGACTTGATAGCGATTGAACTATTTCGGAACTGTTCAAAACTTTGCGGTTTGCATTGTAAATCAAAAGTGAAAAACGTTCATTAGGTGACCAGAATAAGTTGACATGAAGTGTCATCTATCCCGCGCCTTCCGTTCTACTTTCAAATTACTTTTTGCTTTATATCTCCTGAAGTAAAAAAGATACCAAAATAACATTTTCAGAAGTTGATAGATCTTTCTTTTTTATTATTAGATGTCAATTTTTTACGAAATTGAAAAAAAAGAATTTTTTTCCTTCTGATACCTTAACTGGTGATTTAGAAAGTGACCTTGTTAGATTAGTGTTAAAAGAACAGCTCTGCAAATGACCCTGGACTAGAAATAAACTATATATTGAACTGTGAATGATCCCGTATTACAAATAATCCTAACGTTTCATAAACTGAAATGGTAAGTTGGTGTATAGTGGAATGTGTGGTTCGCTGTGGCAGAAAATGTGCGTGGTTCCCGCTGTTGCGGTAGTTCTTACATGAAATAAGCGTCAGAACAAGAATAAAAAATCAAGCTGCTAATAAACCTCGACAAAGAGGCTTAGGCAACTTCTTTCTCAGGATCTACAATTCTGCATTTCTTCTCTCCCTTCTCAACAATGTATGGGTTGTAACTCACACCCATGTTCTAAACGTTCATACTTTACACTGCAAGCTTTCCCTGTTGGAAATACAAGCTGTTCATTTTTATTGTTTGTTTTTTGATTTCTCTAACTTCTGTATTCATTCACTTTTTTAGTAAAAAGAAATACAGGCCATTCCGGTCCTTTCCGGCTTTTCAACGTGATCATTTGCAGTCCTGTAAGCATCATTCTGTGTAAATTGACGAAGGAAGGGAAATAGACTAACAAGAGTGATCTGATATCAAGGAGACTGCTATGCAGATTAAGTGCCAACTAAGAGAGCTCACTTCGATCGAAAAGCTAAGGAATCACCTACTTTCTGTGGTGCTTAAGAATGCAAGTGAAGAAGTGGAAACCGGTAATATCGGTTAGTATCAGCTAGAGATCGGAGGCACACCAACATGAGCTCACCACTTTTACGCAGTGAAAAAAATAGTTAAGACAAAAGTGAAAACAGAAAACATTACAGAAAAGTTATTTCCTGCAGGGATATAATTTACAATTTACGGGCAAAATGTTATTTTGCAATTGACAGAGTAGAATAACATCTGACCAACAGACAAGAGCGGTTACCAGTGATATTCTTTAACTGATTTCCGAGTCTAACCTTATCCCAATACAGGTTTATGTCCTTCAATTGTCCTGTTTTTTTCCAGGACAATTTATTCACCCAATTTGATCCGAGTACACGACCGATTTTGGTTTAAAAGACGATTTTTGAGCAATTTCGTCCGTTGATTCTCGAGTGAAGCTGCATGAAGTAGGACTATTATCTCAGTTCAAGTTTGATCGTTCAATCAGATACGATTGATGAAAACTTGTTGGATAATTTCTACAAACTAATTCATAGTGTCTGGTTGGATAGTTTTAACCAGTTTGACCAACGTAACCCGTTGTACCATTTTAAGGAGTTGGACCATATAGTTTAGTAATATTATTTTAAATGATTCTACCATTTTAACCAGTTGGACCATTTTAATCTGTTTACACCATTTCTACTAGTTGGACCAGTTTATCTAGCGAGACCATTTTATTCGGTTGGACCATAAAAACCAGTCAGACCATTTTAAGCGGTTGCGTCACTTTAACCACTTGGGCCATTTTTTTAGTTATACAAATTTAATCCATAAGGTTATTTCAACCATTTACAAAATGGATCTAGGTGGGCTATTTTTACCAGTTGGATCATTTTTATCCAGTTAGGCCATTTAACCAGTTGGATCATTTTATTTGGTTAGACCATTTTAAGCAGCCGGACCATTTTATCCAGTTACCCCCACTTTAACCGATTGGATATTTTCATCAAGTTGGACCATCTTACCCAGTTAAATCATTTTGAGCAGTTTCACCATTTTATCTAGGTAGACCATTTTATCCATTGCTCCATTTAAAACAGATTGACCCTTTTACACAGGTGGATCTTTTTTTAACCACTCTGGCTATTTTAAAAGGTGGACCGGTTTATCTACTGAGACTATTTGAAGCAGTTGGAACATTTCAGCGAGTGGTATCGTTTAACCAGGTGAACCATTTTGTCTCTAATTAACCATTTTAACCGGTTGGATCATTGTAACCAGTTGCACTATTTTCTTTAGTCAAACCATTTTCACTTGTTGAAGCAATTTAGTAGGCTTAGCCATTTTTTGCTTAAAAGCAGCTGGATTGTTCAACCAGTTGAACTAATTTCTGGAGCTAGACTATTTTAATTGATTGTTTTGCTTTGTTTGTTTGTTTGTTTGTCTTTTAGTTTGATCACTTTAAGCGGTTTGATCATTTTAACCAATTGGACCATTTTCTCTAGTTTGACCATTTTTACCAGTTAAACAATTTTATGTAGTTAGAACATAACCATTTTAGCAAGTAAGACCGTTTTAGACCATTATTTTATCCAGTAAGTTTGGGGAATTTTAATCAGTTGGACTATGTTATCTAGTTACCCCACCTTATCCAATTGGACAATGTAATGGGGTTGGATCTTTTTTATCTACTTAGACCAGGTAAAGTGGATGGACTATTTTTTTCTAGGTAGACAATTTTAATGGGTTGAACCATTTAAAAATGTGGAGCATTTTGTCACTGGAAAATTTAGTGATTTTCGGTGTGTTTGTTTGGAGCACATTTGTTACTTTTTCAATATTTCAGCCGTTCTCAATTCACTCTAGTTTTTTATATTGTAATGTTTTTGAAAAAGATAAAAGCTGACAGTAAATTCTTTTAACTATCAACTTGATCATATCGCTTTGTTTTCGCCGTCTTTGTGCACCCGGACATCGGTTTATATGTGATCTTATTCTGAGCGGACATTGTTGAGTAAACATTCCTTGTAGCGACCTTTTCTGGTTAATTACTTCCCAGGAAGTTGCCAGCGGAACATACGTCCGTAAATTAGTTCTTTTCATGCCATAACTTTTCTCGTTGCCACTTGTTCAAATTTAACACCAACATCGCATAGACAAGCAGAAATTTAAATTGACTTCTCACTTTTACTTGCTAAGATATCTGTTTGCAATTTTAAAGCTGTGAGTCCAATCTCCGTTTTCTTAGTTAGGGTCGATAACTTCAAAGAGATATTTTCCGCTTCTTTTGTGATACTATTCAAATATTGTAAATTTATAGAACAATAGAATCACGCGCTCGATAGCACTTAAGGATAGACCTTTTAAAGCTTTTTAGATTACATAGACGACTGTGTAGCGATTAAATCGACGATTGCGTGGCGATTACTAAGCTGAGTATGCTAGAGGTCATGTCGGTTCTCGATACGAACTAAAATAAAGTTACTGTGGAACCAAACACAGTCTTATCCTTGACGTCCGTAGCAAGTTCGCTTGAAGTAGGTGTCTATGTGCCAGGAAACTGTGACGAGTTTCCGTTCCCGCTACCAAGTGATCTTTACTGAGTTATTTCCCCCCCCCCCCCTTTGTTGCGTTCCCCGCAAATTCCATTTAGTGCGAAAAACCTATCGTCACAATTTATCATGTTGAGTGGTTTTACCTAATTTGACCATTTTAACTGGTTGGACCATTTTAAACAAATGGATCATTCAACTAGATGGACCAATTTCTCTAGTTAGACCATTGTAACCGGTTGGACCAATCAAACAGTTTAACCATTTTAATAATAACGATTACAAATTCCTCAAATGTGATTGGTGCACTAACTGCTTTATTATTCGTTTATTGTTTTGTGGAGTTGTAATCGGACAGCATAATCGGTCAGTT